CGCTGCTCTCAGCTGGGGGACATCCCCCAAATCCCCCCCACCCCCTCAAGGTCCCCCCCAGTGTAGTCCCCCCACCCCGACACCTACCAGACATCAGACTGCGTGTTGAAGATGCCGTCCTTGAGGGCCTCGGGGGACATCCAGCGCACAGGGAGCAGCCCCTTGCCCCCTTTCCGATAATAATCCGTCTCGTAGATATCCCGGGTCATGCCGAAATCTGGTGGAGGAGGAAGAGGAGGATGAAGAGGAGGAGTCGTGGAGGCGCATGATGTTGGGGTGGTCGAGCTGGCGGAGGATGGCGACCTCCCGTTCCACCTGAGCCCGTTCCAAGCCCAGGCGGCTGCCCCGGCATCGCCGCGTCTTCACGAATTTGGCGGCGTAGAAAACGCCGGTGCTGCGCTGCCGACACCGCTTCACCACACCGAAATGACCACTGCGGCGAGAAGCCGGGCTGGGGCACGGCCGGGCAAGGTGTGAGCACCGGGAGATGCGGCCAACCCACCGCTGCCCACCCACCTCCGATCTTGACGGTGAAGTCCTCGGACACCATGCAGTTGCGGGCGGCCAGGTCCCGGTGCACGAATTTTTTGGCGTTGAGGTACGCCATGCCGTCGGCGATCTCCCCCGCCATCTGGATCATGTCCTTGAGTGACGGTGGCGGCAGCCCGGGGTTGTTCTGCACCGTGAACAGAGAGTTGGGGCTGAGGGGACGCACCAGGACCAAAAAAGGGGGGGTGCCCACCAGCCCCTCCCTCCCCGTAGCCCCGGCTGTATCCTGCGGGGATGCACGGGGACCCATCTCAGCCACCTGCACGGGGTAGCGGTGACATCCCGGACCTGTCCCATCCCACTGAGAGCAACGCAACCTCCCCAGCAGGCGCTAGAGGGGATTCTCTGGTGTCTAATATTGCGGCTGAGCTCGGGCCCTGGCCGGCTCTCCCGGCTCACACTAAGATCTCCGGCAGGTGGAAACTTGGAGACCTTCACCCCTCGATGAGGGTGGGCAGGAGCTGCTCAGGGAGCTCGGAAATCGGGCAGGGACAGGCAGGGAGGGGGGTCACACCAGCCCCAGGCGCCCCTCATTGCGCTGGGGAGGAAAGGTGGGGGGGGGTGCAAAATGCAGAGAAAAACTAACATTGCTGGTTTGGGTTTGTTTTTTTTTTTTCAAAAAAAGGGATTAATAGTGGTGAAAAAAAAAATAATCTCCGTGAGCTCATCTGTGAGAGTCCTGCCCGGTCCCCCGCAGCCCCCGGGGGGAGACCCCACACCCGCAGCCCCACGTCTCAACCCCTCAGCCGTGGCTCACCTGGGTGCTGTCAGGGGTGGCCCCCGGCACCCCCCCAGCCAGGACCCCCTCCCCCGAAATGGGGCGCAATGTTCCAGCGATGCTCCGGGGCAGCCGGAACCGGCAGCTTTGCAGGGTACGGAGAAAGGGAGGGGACACGGGCTTGGAACCCCCGTTTTGGGGCCACCTCGATGTCCCCAGCGCTGTGTCCCTTGGGAGCAGGAGGTTTCCTGGGCGGGTGCAGGCTGGGGAAGGTTGAAAGCCACTGGGAAAGGGATGAGGAAATTGGTATCGGCCAGAGGTGGGGTCCTCCCCCTGCAGGAAAAAACAGCTGGATAAGGGAACACGAGCGCCTGCGACACTGAACCCCTCCCGGCCGCCTGGCTCAGCTTTATCTCCGCAAAAAACATCCAAAAAATGGATCCTGCACAGGCGCCCCAGCAGTCGGACACCTCTCCCCAGTGCGGGCTCAGGGCACCGGGATTTACCCTTCCCAAAGCCGGGGTGTGCTCCCCCCGCTCCTGGGGGATTCGAGCCCCCCTCAGCGGGTGGTCCCTGGGGTCAGACCCACGTCACGCTGGTTGCGGGCTGTCCCCGTCCACGGGCTTGTGCTGCACCGGTGTCGGTGGCCAAGACCCCTCCTTGTCCCCCCACGGTGGCCCTAAGGGACAGTGAGCGGTCCCCAAACCCGGTCCCCCCTCGCTCATCCCCGCTCCCAGCCCAGCTGTGCCCCCTTCCCCCCCCGAGCCTTCCTCCGCACCCGCGCTCCCCCTCACTCTCCCCAGGACAGGGGACGGCTGCTGCCCGCGGTGACAGTCCTGTGGCACCCCCGGGCTCGGTGGGGGACACTCGGCCGG